AGTAAGACCTTTAATTCTTTTTTAGCTATAAAAAATAACTCATAAAATTGTCAGTTCTAAATAGACAAATCAATACAGACATTACATAAACTGTCCATTTAATGAAATAAAATACCTTTTAAAACATTTCTAGTTGTAGTAGGGAACTTGTTACCACCCAAGGAACAAGGTATTTATTTAGCTTTTTTTAACCATTCCAAAGCAGCACCAAATCAACAAAATAATTCGAGAAGGTGGAAGGGGAAAATCCCAGATCCTGAGGCATTACTGGAATGCCTGCTATGAGCTTCAAGACACTCAGAAATTCCTTTAGGCTTATTTTCCCTGAAGTTTTTCCCTTATCAATGACTTCTGATAGAAAAACTGCAAATAGAAGTTATCTACAAGTTAAAGAAAAGGGCTGGTGAAAGAACAGTCCACGCTGAAAATACTGAGGACATTTATTTAAAAATTTAGCCAGGTTCCAAGATAAGACAGACAAGAACTGCTTTTCATTGGGGGTGCAGGGTCAACATTCATACAATGCTGACCAAAAAGATACATCATATCAAACAAGAGGGAAAAAAAAAAAAGGAAAAATGAAAAATTGAGCACACAAACCCCTAATTATTTATGAATAACAAACACATCCTGCCTTTTTTCATTTCCAAAATCAGCTTAAACAGTTTTTGTTATGACTATCTGTAAAGAGATCTTAGGCATTTCTCCCATTCCTAAAATACTTGATTGCAGAAGTCATCCATTACAGGCTAAGCCTTCTCTGAGCCCTATGGGGGTCCCCAGAGATGGGCTGCTGGGCCTCCATCAGCTGCAGGCACAGCTCGAAGCCTCCATCTCCTGCACTTTCTAGAAAAGAATATCCAATCTTATCAAAACACTGGCAGACTGTATATACAGACACTGGTGCTAGACTTCAGGGGAAAAAATGTTCATTTTAAAACTGAATGGTACTTTTCACATCAGCCTGACTGCTCAGCATTCCTGCACTGTCATGTGAAATCAGCAGCAGGATTTTTACTGGAAAACAAATTGCACTGAATAAAGACCATGCCTGAGGTTTTTCTGGGAAGGGATATTGCTGCTTTTTTTTAATATAAATTTTTAGTAATTTTTAGTAACCACATTGGGCTTGTATAAAATATACTGGTCTGCTCTGTCAATACTCATGGTCCTGTCTAAGACAAGCTCCCTGACATGGGATTCTCTGAAAGAAAAATCACAAACGTGAAGGTATTTTTTTAATAGGCTATTCCATGTTATATGAATATTTATTTAATTGATTTACTAATTCAATATACTATTCCATGTATACCATGTATATCAGGTGACACTGAGGAATATCAACAGCACTCGGCAGAAACAAGTCTGTATTAATTAAGAGGGACAATACTAATTGGAGAGACAGAAGAGACACGTGGAAGGGGACGTTGAGAACGTGGCTGGAGTGGGAGGAACACCGTGTCAGGATGGGGGAAGACATGCAAGACACAAGGAGCAGAAGGAGACAATAAGTAAGAAACCAGGAGCAGCAGAAAGAAGTCATCATGTGCAGGAGCTCCTGCACTGCCTGACACCTCACCAATGGAACTGGGGTGATCCAAGGCTAACCCAGGACAAAAAGGAAGGGAAGTTTGTCCTGGAGGCAGAGGGGAGACAGGTGTTTCCTCCAGGTGCCTGTTAGAGTGTTATGGTTTGGAGCATTCCTACCCAGCATCCAAGTCATCAGTCACAATGTCATGTTATCTGGCAGTAAATTATGAAAAAAATTCTCCAAGTTGAGTCTGGTTTGCCTGCAGCACCACATGGCTTAAATAAACCACAACCCACTACTTCCTTATAGCCTTGCAACAAGAGTAGCTGGCTAAGGCCAAATTTTCTACAATTTAGCTAATAATAAGAGTTTCACTCTTCCTGGTTCCTGCATGCCTCTACCATACAATTTATGTTTGCAGTAGAGTAGCTCATAACTGCCACAATTTAGTCAGAACAAACTCCTCCTGGCTGCATTTTGTTTTGCACACTCTGTTAAACATCTCAAGAGACAGTCCCCTTGGTCTGCCCACACGTTATTTCACAGCTTAGCTTTGCTGGAAACCTTCTTCCCACACCCAACTTCCCTCTAAAACTTCCCTTTATTCATTTCAAATAAGTCTCATTATTATAATGCTTTGCTACTTCTCACTGAACACACTTCTCACTGAACACACTTTCTTGTTCCCTAAATCCATTAAGTATTAACTCAGCTATATTTTTTTGTTTTAAATAGCAATAGTAATAACCTGTCCACCATTTTCCTTTTAATATCCAAAGTTAACTAGAACATTCACATTCATTTGCAGAACTGCAAAATAAAGTACTGCAGCAAACAAATTAAATTGTGTTCTGAGGGCAGCAGCTACGAAAAATTTAAGACTATATTGAGTAAAGATGGACCTAACTCTTGTAAATTTGTAAATAGTAAATACTACATCACTTGGAATTGACCAAAGATGACAGATACCTCAACTGAGGGTCTTATAAATAGGTTAAAGTGACATATTTTACTTGAAGAGAAATGTTATATCTGTTTCCAATCGCAATACAATTCCTCCACTTGTAAATAAAAAGGCACTTTCCCTCCCAGTCCTCTCTGAGGAAAACCTGAGCCCACTTCTACTGGTATGGCAGGAAGACAATAGAAGTCTTCAGGTCCCTCAAGTTTACAAATTCCCAGTTTAACACACAAATAAGGACACTGGGACACCAGAAGAATTGCAGATCTAGACCAAAACTACTTTTGAAATGTCTCCAGCCTTTACATTCTCTCATATTCTATCCAGTGGCAAGTTACACTTGCAGCCTGAGTGTTTCACTCCCTCAAATTATCTTTCCTGCCCTATCAGCAATCAGCTGAACTTTGAATGACCCTTCACAGAGCCAAGGAAAGCTTCAAACAGGACACAGACGAGGAAAAATAGAAAACTACTGATAGTAATCAAAGCCTATTGTACTTGAGAAAACAAGCCTTAATTTTGTATCAGGTTCCTCACACCCAGCACCCTTCTGATACAAAAGCCACCTCTCTTAGTGTTTTAAGATGTCAATATAAACAAGATTACAAATCCCTGTGGATTTTAACTACGACACTTTAAGTTTGGTACTGCCTCCAGATTTTGTTTTCAGTGCATCAGCCTGTCTGCTAATTTACACCTGAGAGATTGTAGGGAATTATGGCTCTCAGGGATGACAAACTTCTGAGGCTTTTGGTACATCCTGCTGCATTTCAAAATCTCATAGAACAGGAGTTTCTTTCAGACACAGCAGGCCCAGTATGACAGCACACGTGACCCAGACCACAGTTAAAATCTATAGTGCAATATAAATTGTCATTTCAGGGAAAGGACAGTTGATATGTTTATCCTAATTATATTCCTACTATTCTATTCTTATGCTTCTTTATTCTATTAGGAGAGATTTTGCTTCTCAGGAAAATAAAAACATAATTTTCTAGACATTTAATTAGTCTTAAAACAATCATAAAGCAGCCTTGAGAGCACTTCTAGGTGAAATCTGCCCTGTAACAAGACACGGATAAGCTACAAATAGGCACAATTAGTGACAAGATTATCTGCATACACTGTTAACCTGTACAGTCTTTATGTAATTTAAATCTTTCAGCTTTCATCCCTTGAAGCTGACTATATAGAGAATTAATTCTGGTGAGTAAGAGATGTTCCTGGGCAAGAGGAACATCTGGGGTAAAGACTGAACAGCAGCAGCAAGTGGAGAGGACTTGAACCATCTTTTACACCTAACACATAAAAATGCAAGTATCACAATACAAGTAACAGGAAAGTTCAGGAGTTCACACGGATACCAAAGGCAGAGGTGAAGCCTGCAATGGCTTCCATTATCTCTGCCCCTGAAATAAAATAATTCTGACATCCTTTCTCCAGGCATGTGGTGCTGCAGCTGGGCTTTACCAACACAAGGACCTTTTTGTGCGAAACAGATCTCTTTGAATGTCACACATCACATTAACTCACCCCAACAAAGCACAAGCAGTCTGCAGGTAAAGATGACTTTTAACTGACAGCTTGTAAAAACAATAATATTGCAAAAAGGATGGAAAAGGAAAAAAGTCCCCCAAAAAACAGAACATAAACATCCCCCTTACTAGTACTATGAATTACATAGGTATTACAAAGTTTTCCACTTATCACTGATTTCCCTGGATTTAAATTGCATTTCATGTATTCAAACAAAAATGCTGAACACCAAGAACCTCAGAGGGTCCTAATATCATCAAGAGTATCAAGTCAGCTTGTGTTCAGCTTCTGCAAGCTGGATATTTACATCTGCCAACCACAAAAACCCTAATACAATTTAATACTCTAATCTTCTATTTGCCAAAAATGAACAGATTATGTTACAAAGGAGGCACCTGTAGGGGAACTGCATCTGGACTCTGGCATCTTCTGACTTAAAGTTGATTCAACATTAGGTCCCAAATCAGCAGAGATTTCAGTAAATTTGAAAATATATGAAGCCAAAAGATAGTAATCTTTCATGGACTGAGAAACACTTTTGCTCATATACAACCATTTAGTAACCTCAGTGTGTTGGGATCTTTTTAAAATGAAACATTTTAACAAAATTTTTATAAATCCTTGCAAGAACTTCAAGTTTGTTTACATCCAACTAAGTTATTCACAACCAAAATTTATCTCCAATTCCGCTTGGAATGTTTTTTGTAGACTATCAGTTTTCATTCCCCAATAAAACATTTTTAAACACTTCACTCCCTATGCAAAAATCAAATTACAGAAAGAAAAACCTAGATAGAAATGGAATTGAAAAGCACAGTAAAAGATTAGCCAGCAGTAACCCTTACACAGCAGTTTCCAAAATATCTATTAAAGGCATAATAATACTTTCATCAATAAATAATACAAAAAAGAGCCTGAATATTCATAGCAGCAAAATTTTAATCTTATTTTCTTTACAAGCTTGCTACTTACTGTAGAAACCCAAATCTATCTGTGACTTTGTAAAGATGGTAGTCAGCATCTTCCCACGGTTCAATCTGAGCACCCTCACGTCCCTAAGGGGAAAGGAAAAAATAAAAAGCCAAATTATATTTTATGACACAATAAATAAAGACACATAAGGGAGCATTCAACCACTGAAATCATAGCCTTTGTAACACTCTGGGACATGGTGGAAGGAGGTTAGAAGAGGGGGAGGAGAACATCAGCCCTAAACTAACCAGGCAAGAGAAAGGAGAGCAGAACACCTATCCCAGCCCTTACAAACAGTATATTCATCACAGGAAATCTCTTTTGGTCACTGCTATACACAAAATACATTTCAACAAGAGTCACAGTAATCCCACACCTGTTGTATTATCTACAATAATCCATCAAGGTCCCCAGAATGCCCTCTACTCATTTCTCAAGTCCATCTTTCTGGAACAATCACCTGCAAGAGCACATCCTGCAGACAGTCCATGCTGACTTGCAGCAGCTGTCAAACAATGCAGCACTGAGTTTTCCCTCAATTATGCATTCATGCATTCCCCATTCCTACTCTCCAACTGCTAATCTTGCAAAAGGCTTGCAGAAGTTTGACTACATTTCAGCTCTCCCTGCTTCTGGTGTGGACTATGCACAGGTTGCTGGCTGTGAAATCAGGCCAGCACTCAGAACACAAAGTGAATTCGTTTTGTGTGGCCTGGTTTTACTAGCAGGGGGCTCCAGGGGTGGTTTCTCTGAGAAGCTGCTGGAAGCCTCCTCCACATCCAACAGAGACAGAGTCAACCAGCTCCAATATGGACCTGCCACTGGCCATGGCCCATGCCATACTGGAGCAGGTTTGGTGGCAGGACCTGTGACCCCATGGGGGACCCATGCTGGAGCACCTGTGCCTGAAGAGCTGATCCTGATGGAGGGACCAGTGCTGGAGCAGCTCATGAAGAACTTCAGTCCATGGGAAGGACCCACACTGAAGAAGTTCATCGAGAACTTCAGCCTGTGGGAGGGACCCCCCACTGGAAAAAGGGAAGAGTTTAAGGAGTCAAACCCCCAAGCAGGAAGGAGTCACAGAAACGTGGAATGAACTGACCACAGCCCCCATTCCCCATCCTCCTGGCGCTGCTCAGGGGGAGGAGGTAGAGAAAATTGGGAGCAAAGCTAAGCCCAGGAAGAAGGGAGGGTTGGGGAGTTAGACCCAGTTTTTATTTTATTATTGTCCTACTCTGATTTGATAGGTAATACATTAAACAGATTTCCTCAGCTCAGGTCTGCTTTGCCTATGACAGTCATTGGTGAAGAATCCCTGCCTTTATCCCAACTCATGAGCCTTTTGTTACATTTTCTCTCCCCTGCCCAGCTGAGGTTGGCAGTGACTGAGCAGCTTTGAGAAGCAGCTGGCATCAGCCTGCCACACACAAACAGGTTTTTCCTTAATCCAAGGTGAGCCACTCATTTACTGCACACTGTGCCAACCACCAGTAAGTCTGGCACATAAAGCATTTCATGAACTCTACAAACAAGGCTACTGCTCTGTACTCCAGTGACACTTAAAAAGCCCAGAAGTGTTACAAAAATACCTGACTACTATGCAAGCTATTCTAGGCACAGTCTGTGCCAGGCTTTTCCTGACAAGGGGTCCAAGAACAAACAGTGTATGACCAGGGCATTTCTTTAGCTCCCCACAACAAGATGAGAAACAATACAGCTCACTTATTTTTTTCTTTTTCTGCTATGATTTCAGTATTTGTACTACCATAACCAAAGACTAAATAAATAAAAAGTAAAATGAGAGTCATTCTGATCTCACAGATACACTGAGCATCCTCAAATACCCCACTTTCACTGCTTCTAATACAATACACTCCCTGAAATAGTCCCAAAATAACTTGCTATGCACCTGAAAAATGAGTTGATTGAGTCATTATCCAGAATATCCCCCATGGAGAGTTTAATTCACCCAAAGGCCAGTGTATCATTAAATATCAGATTAGTACTCAACAGAGTATTTTAAACAACAGCAAGCTGGAATCATGATTCACTTTTTAAACAGACATATTAAGAAGATTCATTATAAAATGTCTTTTAAATTACCAAAAAGTTCACTTACTCTGTCATACTTGGCAACTATCTCTGCTCGTTCCTGGGCAAGTTTGATAGCAGCATCCTGCTCAGCATCTGCACCTGTATAGGAATTAAAATAATGTTGTTCAGATTTTCTCCCTTGTGAAAAACGAACTGCAGCCAAATACTTGGAAAATCAACTTCAGGGAGACTACTTCAGTGGAGAAATGCCAAAACTATTGTGTCAAAGCAAAATATGACCTTGGTGCATGTCTTGAATCATGCTCAAAACAAGGTACAGTTACTGCACAGTATCTTAATTGCCGAGTTTAGAATATTTCTGATTATCCGCCAATGTAGATATTAAATACAGTAAAAAAAAAAAATTCTGCACAACCCACTAACTGAAAGACTGAAGAAAGTACTAAAGCCCACTAATTGGCAATTCCACAAACATTCTAATAGTCAAAGAAACCTGAAACATTCACTACTGGCTTAAAACAAAATTGTGATGTATTTATAGGATTTGTAGAGATATTAGAATACTGAAGAAATACTGCATGGCTTTCTACTGTTTCTTAGAAATTGCCTAAAATTTAGTTCTCAGAAAACAGGGAAGGACGTCATTACAGTGTCAGAACAGCAACTTGGGCAACCCAGAGCTGGAATAAGTGTAAGGAGATGACAACAGGAAGGTTGACAGGCAAAACCAAAAAACCAGTGTGTGAATAAGCACTGGACATGAGGACACTGCAGATGCAGCATTTACTACGTGGCTGGAGTTCAAGTTTTGCTCAGTCCTGTTCCCTGAGCAGAAGCCACCTCTAGGACATGGACAGGAACAGAGAGCACCAAGAAAGGAAAAGTTCCTATTTTGAGTATCCAACAGCAGAAAGCACTTCAATACCCCAAATATAATTATATCAAACCAACGAGGTAAATCAGCTTTAATTAATAAGTTTGTGAAAGATTCAAGCATTGAATTATTTTGATTATTAAAAAGCAACGAACTTCAGACAAAGCAAGGCTTGAAAAAGGTTTAAAATATATTTCAGTCTAACACTGTTATAAAAATAACTCTAAGCATGTGGGTTTTTTTCACTATCTGGTTCATGGCAACATAATGAACTTCAGGAATTGTACATACCAACCATCTGGCCCATGAAATAGAAAAACAGATCACATATTACAGTTTTCTATCCTATGACATTAACACAATTATTTGTTCAAACCTAGTGTTTCTTTAATAAAGGTTACCTACATATTTCTCAACATTTAGGTAAGAAGTTGTGCCAAGGTGGCCTTCTAAGCCATCTGTTTGAGATTTAACATAGTCTCTGCTTGTTTCCACTCCACCTTTCTCCAGGGGCACACTAAGAGAACCTCAGTATGACCCACAATAGACACAAATATCAGCATTTAGACAATAGCACTGCTCATCCTTCCCTATGGGAAGGTCTGGCTGCTTTTTCAAAGCTTTCATTTATGATTGTCAGAAGTCACACTTGGTTACCCTCACCTAGGCCCCTCTGTCACCACCATTTGCCAATCACATTACTCCTGTTTATTAAAAATACTGTCAGTTTCTCCAGTATGCAGCAGAAGCAGCACACATGTATTTACACAGTTATTTGAGAGAGAAAAAAATAATAACTAATTCAGTCTGTTATATTTGGAAGCTTCACATCTCTAATCTACAACACTGACAAATCATTTCCTCCCTGTAAGATAAGGGGTGAGTAGAATCATTTAATATTGCTCAGACTTTGGTGTGTCCAGGGCACTGCTCCTCCTGTGCTTTCAGGTTCTGGATCCTCTATTCCTAAGATGAAACGGGACTCACAACCCAAAGGTGGGTCTCAGGTTTGCTTTTCTCTGACACAGCTTTACAGCCACTGCAGGGCTCTGTTACCCTGGCTGCCCATGAGAGCTCTGAGCAAGACACCCCAGAGCCCTCCAGAGCCCCTCCCAAGCCCTGTCACACCCAGGGGCACAGACACAACTTCACACCACTGCCAGGGCATTCCAGCACTCCCCCAGCACAATTACAACAATCTGGTTCCTAATCTTTACTAGTTGACATAGTACATCTGCTAAACTGACAATGTCCACTAAAGCTACCAAATCAACACTGACAAAAAGCATTGGATGAACCCTGGTTTTACTTTCAAAGTGAGAAGATAAAGGAATTGTAACCAAAATTAAATTGTGTTTCCTTCTGGAAAACAGATCTGTGCTTACAGCAAGTCTTTACAGAAGACTAATTATGAGTTTTTAAAAAGTAAACTTTTAACTTCCTTAGAAATCTGACATTCCTTCAGCAACTTCAAGTACTGATTGACCCAAATCTCCACTTCTTCAATGGACAGCTGTGGGGAAAAGCTCCCTTGTTTAAAGTTTAAAGCTTGCCTGCTGCTGAGCTTCAAGAAATAAATTAAAAGTCCTATCATTACTTTCCAAGTAGAAGAGATTACATTTGAGATAGAGTGAAAGAGTGTGGCTGAATATAAGCAGACGATATTGTAATGCACAGTCAATACATTCACAAAGTACGTAGCTGATACATTTTTTAAACAGAAATAAAAATGGTTTCTATTTTTATTTTAAAATGTGCTCAAAAGGACATGCATATATCTTCAAAAACACAAACAGAGTAACAGTATAAGCTGAAAAAACTTCAAACCTTTGCTCAAAAGAATGCCAAACTGTATTTGCACCAGAAAGCAAGTTCCTGATTTATGCTGAAAATGTGCCCATGGCTTACCATCCTTCCTCTGCATAAGCAATGAGTGAATCAAAGTTTGGCATGTTCTGTATCTCATGACAATTCAATTACATTTAGTGTGTAAATTATCATATTCATTGCCTTTAAAGTAATCCTCTTTGCTTTCTGCCAGAATCATCTTAACCTTCCAGCTGCACTAAGATAGTTCTGTGTTTCATTAATCCATCCATACTGAAAACCCAGAAAACATCTTGAGATGGGGGCAAGAGCTTTTATTTGGGGAGATAAGAATTAAACATTATTTTTCTTATAAGAGGAAATATTTAAATACCTCCAACTTAGAAATGACATGTTGATTCCTGGTAAACTAAAAGCTAAATATGGGAACAAAAATGCATCACTATGAAACTGAAGACAAATAACTGGCATTCTGAAGTCGTATCAGTTTTGTTCAGTGTTATCTCAGTGTTTTTGTAAGAATAGAGCTATGGTTTGATGATCTGATGAAAATTTTTAAAAATCCTGCCTTACTCTTGCTTTCATGCCATCTTCTCTCTTCCATGTTCCACATGGAGGAAGAGTAGCTGCAGGTGTAGTCACTTAGAGACATCAGAGAATCTTGACCCAAGGCCCCCCTATACTCCACCTAAACATGTATTTTAAGGTGGGGGTAGGGAGAAGGTAGGGGGGGAAAATTTACAACAATGTAATTTTGTATTCATTTAAATCACTAAGCTAAACACTGAGGATCCCTCTTGCAGTCCCTGCAGTACCTCAGTTTTCCAGAATAAAGGAGGGGGAACTGGCAGGACCATCCCTTCTGTTTCTAGCAGTCAAGAAGGAGCTGAACAGCCTGTGACAGCCTAGCAGCAGCTCAGCTGCTCCTGGTTGGGATGACTAACACAGAGCCCATAGTTACACCTGGCTTTCATCACAGCCTGGCAGAACTCAGCTGCTTCTGAGGGAGGAACGGCCAGAAGACAGTAAAAAACACTGGTCTTTTCCACAAAAAGAAAAGCTGCTGCTCTACAAGGTTTACTAAGTAGCTGTATTTTGAATTGTTTGTCTAATCCTGTTCAGCTACAGAACTGCAAACCAGTAAGGCACAACATTTTTTAAAGTGATCTTCATGTGTAATCAACTGAGCACACACCTCTAGTCCCTACAAAAGTAGTCACACAACTTACAGGAATGATCTTTGGGGTTACTCAAACTCACTAGTGCTGTTCTCTCTGAAACAGCCTAAAAAATGACTAGGCTGTACCTCACAAAGGCTGCCAAAGGTAACAACCATGGAGTAGCTCCCTCATGAAGGTAGTATGAAATGAGTACCACTGAGAGCCTCAGTGGTTCCTTACACTGAAGGAGTAGTAGATAGAAGATACATTGCAGTGCTCATGCACCAGCAGCAGTATCATAAACTGCCTCTTACAGATGTGCCATAAATGTAAGAAGAATCACAGATTAGTTGAGGTTGGAATGATTTTAAAATCATTGAGTCCAACAATTAACCCATCACTGCCAAGCCCACCATTAAACCATGCCCCCAAGCACCAAGTGCTTTCAATTACCTCAAGGGATGGTGAATCCACCACTTCTCTAGGCAGCCTATTTCCAGTGCTTGACAACCCTTTTGGGAAGAAAATTGTTCCTAATATCCAATCTAAACTACCTCAATGCATCTTGAACTCATTTCATCTCTCATTCTGTCATTTTTTTACCTGCAAGAAGAGCCCAGCCCCCACCTGGCTACACCCTCCTGGCAGGGGGTTGTAGAGAGCAGTAAGTTTCCCCCTTGAGTTTCCTTTTCTCCAGGATAAACACCCCCAGCTCCCTCAGTCACTCTGCATAGGACCTGTGCTCCAGACCCTATCACAGTTCCATTCCCTTCTCCAGACATGATCCAGCACCTCAACGTCCTTATTGTCACAAGGAGGCCAAAGCTGATTCCAGGATTTGAGGTGTGGCCTCATCAGTGTGGAGTACAGGGGGCAATGACAGCCCTGGTCCTGTTGGTCACACCACTGCTGGTCAGGCCAGGATGCCACTGGCCTTCCTGGCCACCTGAGCACACACTGGCTCAAGCTGACCTGCTGTGGACCAGCACCCTCAGAAGAGATGCCTCTTTCCATGGAGCTGAGGCTCAATACACCAAGAGCATCCTGTGTAACCTTATCCCAAATTCTGAAAAGCCCCAAATTCAAAAAAGGAAATTCTTCCTTTTTTGTCCTCTAACCCACCATCATTGTCTAGCCAATTGCAGAGCATTCTGAAAACCCCAAAAGAATTGAAAAGGTTAATTTGTTTCCCATTAATTTACTAAAATTCTTGCTTGTTTGCACATTACACATCCCACTGCTCAAAGAGTTGCACTGGCACAAATTCCTGTCTGCAG